AGTGACTTTCTCCAAATCACCTGAGAGCAGGAAGGAGCTAAGTGTGGCAGCAAGGCATCCTGGCGAGCACAGGCTCTGACCCAGTGTTCATGTGATGCTCAGCCCCGCCTTCCTCACAGACAGGAGGCAGATGCTGTCTTCTACTCGTGGATACCACAGATCTACTCTGCTAGATGGAAAGTGCCAGAACCTAGAGGCCCCTCGTCAGTGGTGGCTGATGTCTCTGCTGTTAATGGCAGGCATGGAGACAGAGATCCTGTGGGGTTGGACTTGCCCAAGGAGAGCACAGACAAGGTCTCTGATCCCCTGTGATACAGCCAGGGGCTTCTAAGAGAGATACAGGGTCATATGCAACACATAACATGTGGCAGTGTGTCACCCAGAGCTGGCAAGAGACGTAGGATTGAGGGAGGGAAGGGGTGGAGCACAGTCACGTGACAGCAGCCAGCCTGGCCTAAGGCCGAGGGTCATCCTGGGGAGGACAGGAGAATGGTGGGGTGTAGAAAAGAGGATCCGGTGCAGCAAAGAAGGGCTAGTTCCCCCTTTGTCCTTAAACTCTCTGGTCCACAGAGATGTGCTGTTGAGTAAAATCTTCAGTTCATCAATAGATTAGTATCTCTAGCAACAGAATAATCTGAGCAGGGGTAAAATAATACAGATTAAAATACATCTGTGATCATATCTAGATCCTAGAAGTAAATAATACCTCAGTAATTCAGACTTTCACGTTGAAAGCCAATTCAGAATGTTATTAAGGAGTCTCAATCCCGTACCGCTCTGCAAAATGTGAAATAGCAAACTAGGAGCTAAGGCAGGCTGGCAGTGCCTATGGGAGGGCATGTTAATGGGCACGGGGTGCCTGGTGCCCTTCAGGATAACTGGCATGGGCAGGTCAAGCGTTGTCGGGTCAGTTCCACTTCCCTGCTGTCTGAGGTAGACATGTGCTTTTTCCAGCAGTGTGATCCTGCCTGGACCTGCAGTGTGCACAGAACAGGGTGCAGACCCCTGCCCCAGGCAGCATCTGTTTTTAATGCACTTAATTTGCACTTCTCTGGGGAGGCCTGTGTGTCCTGGTCCATGGGAATGGTGTTCAAGTGCCTGAATTCACTCACACTGTTTGCCCAGCGTTCTTGATGTGTTTTCAAACACTGTGTTTGATCACAGCCTTCTCAGGCATGTTTATGTATGCCAGTGCAGTCTCTGGGCTTGGTTAGAAAGCGTGATCGGTCTTTGCAAAAAGCCTGTCTTTAGTGTCTTTAGGTTCAAACTATGCATGTGGGAATGGCTGTGGGCCGTGATTGGTTGCTTTTGTGCTGGTTATAGAGTGACTGTGGTTGGGTGGAAGTTGGCCCATACCCAGGCTGGCACCTGCTGCTCTGTGAGGCCGGCTTCTGGCTGTGTGTAGATGTGACGATCCCATGTGGACAGGGTGCCTGTTTCCTCACTCTTGATCTCTTCAGAGAGCCACTTCAACCTCTGTGGAGCAGAGGTCACTCTGTACCTGCAGCCCTGACTGCATGGCACAGTGGGGCCCTCGAGTCATCTCAAAACAGACAGTCAGGTCGCTGGTGAGAGCCAGAGGCAGGCATATTGAGAAGGCTGGGGTGACTGGAGAACCCTGTTTCCTTCTCTCACAGCAGCTGGTGAGTCTTGGAAGACACAGTTCAGAGTGAAAAATAAGACAGTAGAGAGATAAGTGTGTTTAGATATACAAGGGCAAATACTAGGAGAAAAAAGCAGTAATCTATGAACCAAAATTAGGGGACAGAAAAGACAGGAGACAGGGATGGGAAGAAGGAGATGATGCTGATTTCACCGTCATTTACAGCAAGGCACCATGAAATGTTGTCAGAGGGAGTCAAGAGCTAGAAGAACCAAAGACAGGTGATGAACCTTCCAAAAGATCAGAAGGGAAAAGTCATAATCAGGCAAGCACATGGTAAGCAGAGATGCTAGGGAGAAAAGCCACATACAGGACAGGATGCCTGGTCTGCTGCAGAATACACAAAGGAATGAGGGCGTCGCCAGGTACCCTGGGGCACACCTCTGACCCAACACTCAGGAGGCTGAGGCAGGAGGATTGCAAATTTAAGGCTGACCTGAAATACATAGTGAGACCCTGTACCAGAGGGAAAAAAGGAAGAAAGAACGGACAAAATGTCTTCCCAAGCACTCTACTTCTGTGTTCTCAGATTATTCCCAGAAAGATGCCCAGGAAGCCATCAGTAGTGCCTGCCAAGGAGAGGGGCCTTGGGAGGTGTGAGATCAAAGGTGGAGAGGTGCTTTGCACTATTTACTTTGCACTAATTTTGAGCCATAGGAATGTAATATAATTCAAAACTCATAATAAAACGCTTTACTACAACACTTTAATGCCTTTCTTTAAAAGCAGTTTAAGTCTAGAGTTTTCTGAGATTAAATACTAATTCCATGTCCAGAGCTGCTGCTCCAGTTAAAAACGTCGAACTAGAACCAGATAGAATTAGAATTCAGTAGTTCTCCTGGCCCCAAAGAAACAGGAAATTGTTGGAATATATACTTCCTGAGGAATTGCCACTTAAGGCCTTAAGGCATCGTGAGGTGGAGGCTTGCTCCTGTTAGACAGTTGAGTGACAGAAGTTAACCATGTGCCCTGATCCTCAGGGGCCAGGCTAGGAACTTGAGTGTGTCTACCTGTGTCCTGTGCCACCCCTGGCAGGGGCACCCACCTATCCTGAGGCCACCTAAGGCTTTTGCAGAACTGTCACAGCCTCACTCCCTGGGAGGAGGACGAGCCTCAGAATAAAACTCCCTGGAGGCTGCATGAAAAATCACTCAGCGCTTGACAAAGAGGCCACCAGAATACCATGGTAAAGGGGCAGTTGGAAAATGGCACCTGCCAGCTGCAGGACTGTGAGCACTGGTTACTGTTACTATTTTGGAATCACATCAGACCCAAAAATGCTGCAGGCTGAGCCTGTGGCTGCACCAGGTTTTGGATCCCTGTCGGCTCTGTGAGGTGTTTCCTGCTGTCCCCACGCCCACTGAGAATTGGAGAAGGGGCACCATTTGTCCACAGAGTGGGGAATTAGCAAAGCCTGGGTTCCAGCCCAGCTGCTCTCTAGAACTCATGCCCTTCCCTCTAGGAGCACTGTTCCTGTTGGGAAATCTCATCAAGGGGGCTGTGGGACACAAGGGACTGTTCCCTTGCCAAAAGATGGGCACGAGTTGTTCTCTCTAAAGAGAGAGAGGCCTGGGGCTCCCATTGTCACCTCCAGCACTTCCCACTGCGCTGCTGGGGCTGCAGAAGGGACTATGGGGGCCCAGCAGGGTCCTCCCTGTCCCACAGCACACAGGATGCTCAGCTGTGGCACCTGCTGCTGCTGCTGCTGCGAGGTCTTCCTTGTCTTCAGAATGACAGGTGTCCAGGCATCTCTGAAGGCTCAAGCCTGGGTTCCGTGGGGCAGCGAGCTGCAGACTCCCACCCACATCACTGAGCTAACGACAGGAAGAAGGGAGAGCAGCCTGGGAGGAAGGCTGGCCAACCATTCCTAGACTTCTGAGAGAGTGGACAGGGACAAGCTCAGAGCCTGATACCCTTGCCAGAGGACTGAGGCCAGCTGGGCCACCTCCAGGAAGCCCCCGAGACCCTGGGTCCCTGCATATCAGAGGCTGAAGCGTGGCCGAGATGGTAACTTACCTGGGCATACAGATGGCATTGTGATGGGCATGCCATGCCAAAGCCTGTGTGGTGATGAGAGCAGTGCTGACCGTGACCTCTTGCCCAGGGCTATCAGGGCACACTCTGAGTGTGACCTCTGTGTGATTGTCCTGCCAGCCTCCATATGGCAGCTAGGAGAGGCTCTTTATATAGTCGGAGACACAACAGTATGGGAGCTGGAAGGATACCAGGCAGCCTGGTCACCCCAGGCCAGAGGTCAGGTGGGGAGAAGGAACACAGGGGGCAGAGGACCCTCACCCAGAGCAGAGACCCAGGCTGGTGTGTGAGCCAGCCTGTCAGTGTGCCAGGCAGCACTTGGTCCCCACAGGTGGCCCCTGAACAAGGGCTGCCTGCGATGGCATTGCTGGCAAGGCCTGGTCAGCTCTGCTCACTTGACTTCCCCCACTGCATCCCTCTTGTTTAAATTGAACAGTTGGGCTGTCATTAATTTTTCTGATCCCACAGTACCCTGTCCATTCTGGTTTTAATCAGTGTGGAAGCCCAGCAGCAGACCACACACTGTCTGTGAGCCCAGAGAAGGCCTGGCCTGGTGCGAGCATCCCAGGCTGGGTCTGAGAGCTGGCAAGGCCTCTTCAGATGCCCACGGCAGGCCTTGGAGTTCCCCAGTTGGAGGGGTTTGATCATTAATAATGTCTGATCAACTGTGAACCCTTAATAGTCAAGGAACTTTGAGAGACGCACAGAGCAGGCCCAGCCCTCCCTCAGCTGATTAAAAAGCACTGGGGGAGGCTTCTTTAAAGTGGAGCCTTCCTGAACTGGAGGAGCTGCTGGGGGGTGGATCGTGGGCAGTGAGAAAACAGGAAGAAGGAGAGATACGAAAAGGATGCCAGGCCCATGTGGCTGTTCCGCCCAACAGGCTGCACTGAGGTTGGCAAATGTTAAAGGACTTGGTCAGGGCTGGAACTGCCTGCTTCTGCCCAGAGGAAGAGAAGGGCACCATCACCTCATGGGCGGGGACAAGGGAGCAGAACAGCCATAGCCAAGGCCTCCCACAACCCTGCAGCAGGAGCAAGGACAGGGACTCTGGTGGCATCTCCCAGCACCAGGTCCTTGGGAAAGGTGGAACTGTTTCCACATCTTGTTTCTATGAAGAATGAAGAGTGAACCCAGTTTCCGAGGGGATTATGCTTAGGGGCCCCTCCGTTCATCACCTGAGTGTGTACCACCCAGCTGCTATGCTTGGGTTTCTGATCCAGCAGTCGCTGCGGGGCGATAGGCAGGCCTCACCCCAGGACCGCTGAGCAGTCTCCCTGTCTCTCCCATCCGGCCTCACCTACAGGGTACCAGATCGCCTACCGCCTGGCAAGCAGCCGCCCCGACACGTTCACCACTGTGGAGGTCGGTGCCACCGTGCGGCAGTTCACAGCCACCGAGCTGGCCCCAGAGTCTGCGTACGTCTTCAGGCTCTCCGCCAAAACCAGGCAGGGCTGGGGGGAGCCACTGGAGGCCACGGTCATCACCACTGAGAAGAGAGGTAAGCCCTCCATGCCAAACTGAATGTCACAGACAGCAGGCAGGGAGAGGTGGGGTGGACATGGGACGTGCGGCTGCCACTCTGGGCCCTCTGTGTCCACACAGTGGCTGGGAGGCTTGCAACTTCCTTCAGAGACACAGAAGAAACACACCGAACCAGGCACTGAGCTGGCCACATTATCATGTGGTGTCTACATAGCATAGTCTTTAGCCACTTCCTCCTCTCTCAGACAGGTGAGATTACCCAGGCTTAAAGATCAGAAGCATAGCTCAGGGAGGTTGTGTAACTGCCAGCGTTGCGCCGTCATATAAGCTTCCCAGACACATGCACTTGTTCTCTGATGTCCAAAACCATGTGCCCAGGGAGCAGGTGCCCAGGAGATGTCTTCTGTTTAGCTGCCCTCCTATGACTGCCTCAGGGTCCAGGAGCCTGGGGGGTGCTGTGTCTCAGTCCTGCGTCTCAGTCCTCTCTCACTGTAGCCCGTGGGGATACAGGGTGTTCCTGCCAATCTCACAGGAGCAGAAGCCAGACATTTATCAATCTGCCAGTTCCCACAGCTGGGAGGCTGAGGCTCTTCGGACCAGTCCCCCTGACCACAAGGCCAGCTCCACCCTCCAGTGTCTGCCTGCAGTCTCAGGCCTCACTCTAGAGCCTGCCCAGCAGCCCAGACTGTGCATGGTGACAGACCCAGGGCAGAGGAGGCCAGACGTGGATCCCACACGGCTGATGGGAAACAGCACTTGGAGCTGTGTGACCTTGGGCAACTCTCCCTGCTCTGTGCCATGGCTCCAACATGCAATCTTGTGTGCAGCAGTCATCATGGTGCCCAGGATACCTAAGTGACTATCCATGTGGGCATCAGGGCTTCCTGGGAGCAAAGCTGGAATGATGTAAGTGCTCAATAAATGTGAACTGCTGTTACGGCCATGTTTATGACTTAAATGTTTTGTGTGTAGCACTGGGATTGAGCACAACTACGCTGCATCCCCAGCCCTTTTTATTTTCTGAGGTAGGGTCTCACTAAGTTGCCCAGGCTGGGCTTGAACTTGAGATCCTCCTGCCTCAGCCTCCCAGAGTGACTATTTTCATTATGAGATCTAGAATACACCATTTTAGGGAGTGAGGAGTTTACCTCAGAGTGCTTGAAAAACAGCTGTGGCCTTCCATCTAGAAGGGAAAGAGACTGACCCTGGGCCCCACCACATCCTGGTCACCTTGTTGGCCATGGCCACCCCCACATCCTTCTCTGGCTCTCACAGAGGTGCTCTGGGATTTTGCCAGTAGGGAAGCTGGTGTTCTCTAGGCTGAGCCCCACAAAGTCACTGCATGGCCACTGGGATGAAGGTGAGGCTGTGCATCCCCGAGGCCTGCTGGGGCATGAAAGGTTTGATCTAAGTCAGTCCCAAGTAGAAATACTCCCATGAACCCCATTGTGGATGGAGCAACACAGCCACCTGCACCTGCTCGCTCTGACGGCAGAGCCCACAGCCCCCCAGCCTGTACCCCATCCCCTGTGGGCCACTTGCTTCTTCAGGAGTTCGGATGGCCCAGCAGGCCCAGGGACCCTGTCCGTGGCTCAGGCACAGGGAGCTGAGAGGCTGCGGTCAGCAGTGTGTCCAACAGGAGCCCTGGGAGCAGGGGAGAGGCTGCAGGAGAAATCAGGCGGCACGATGCATGCCGGGGAAAGACTACTGATTAGGGCAGATCGAAGTGCTTCTCATAGACCCGTCACTGCAGGACCCACAATCAATTGCCGCTTTATTACACCCCACACATGTTAATCAGAATCAATAACCTTCATGATAAACAATTAAACAATTATTCCTCCCTCTGTGGAGTTGCTCTATTGAAATCAATGGGGTTCAGGAGCACAGTGATAGGCTGGTGATGCCCACTTGAGACCAGGGCCAGGCCTGGGCATTTGTACCCTGTACCCCAGCCTCAGTGCTGCGGACAGGACAGCCCCGCATTCATGACCCCCCTAAGAAGAGCTGTGTTGTAAAGACGTCTCGTGTTGTAAACTCAGACTGGCTGCAAGGAAGGGGGGATTCAGTGTTAATGGTGTGGAGAACCTAGGTCGGCGAGCACAAAGGAGGTGCAGGTGCTGGGAGGAGCCCTGAGCCCTGTGATGCCAGCTGTCGTTCAGAGCCTAGTACATGACAGGGGAGGCAGAGCCTCTGTGGGTATCACATCTGTCCACCTTCTAGCTCTGCTGCAGGAGCCTGCAAGATCCCCAAAAAGGTCTAAGCAGCCCAGCCAAAGTCTGCTGGGAGGCAGCTCCCTACTCTGAACCGAGACCTCACCTTTCAGTGTCTGACCCCCATGCAGCCTGCAGTCACAGGGGCAGCTGGACACATGGAAAGCAGCCTCTCTTACACCCACCCCTCTGTCTGTCCTTTTTGGTTGCAGAGCGGCCGGCCCCTCCCAGAGAGCTCCAGGTGCCCCAGGTGGAAGTGACTGCGCGCACCCTCCAGCTCCAGTGGGTCCCAGGCAGTGACGGAGCTTCCCCAATCCGGTACTTCACCGTGCAGGTCCGAGAGCTGCCTGGGGGCGAGTGGCAGACCTACTCCTCATCCATCAGCCATGAGGCCACAGCCTGCACCGTGGAGAGGTACTAAGGAGCCGGGCTGTGCCACACAGCAGCAGTAGTCAGGCTCAGTGTCCCTCAGAGATACCCACCAAACCACCCCTATCCCTAGCAACACTCTCCATGCCAGGAACCCCAGCCCTCCCCCACTAGCCTTGCAGACATGCACTGCACAGCTGGTTTGCACACACAGGCCCTAGGACTGGCAAGGTGTAGATGAGGGGCCAACCCTGGTCATGTGGGGTCAGGTGTCTCAGTCCCTCCTGACCCAGTGTCAGGGTTAGGGAGAGCAGAGAGGAAGGGGTGGGCATGGGAAAGGCTGGAGAGGAGCCCTTCTTTTTATATTCTCTCCCAAAGCAGTGGGGAGAAGCACATCCTGCCCAAGTACTGTTCATGACTGGTGATGGCTGATGAGGGGCTGGGAGAGGCCAGGCCACAAGGCCAGAATCGTCCCCCTCAACAAACACACGCACACTCCATTCAGTCATGTGTTCACCAGCTTAGCAGGTGCACAGCACTGAGGGGTTCTGCATGCATGGGCTCCTGGCTCCACACACCCTTGTCACAGCCCCTTCACAATGGAGCAAACAGGCTAGGAGAGGAATTCCACGCAGGCTTTTCCAGGCCCAGTGAATGTCTCGGTCTCTGGTCCCACCCAGGAAGCACCCGGGCATTTGGCTTCTTGTATGCCTGTTCTAAACCCCTGTTACCAAGCTGGCCCTGCAGGGGTGGGCAGGGCTCTGCACCTCAGAGGTCTTTCCATTGTGCTCAGGTGGCTTGCAGATGGTTAAAGCTTTCGGTCAGAACTTCATTGCTGTCATTATGATCATCACCATGGTCACTGTCATCACCTTGTCATTATACAAGGTGCCCTCTCCAGGGTGCTGTTCCAGGATGGTCCACCGAAGTCTGAAACCAGATAATACTGAGCCCTCTGCACACTGTGCTCTCCCAGACACACAGACCTGAGAGAAAGTCTGACTTATAAACTAGGCAGCAAAATAGACAGTCATAACAATACAGCATGCCGTGTGTTTAAAACTTACGAATCATTTATTTCTAGAACTTTCACTGAATACTTTCTGACACCAAGCAGAGCAAAACCATGAACAAAGGGCCACTGTAGAAGAACCTTCTGTCACTTACAAAACCATTCCCAGAGGTTGCTCCACAGCATCCGTAATAGCCCGGTGGAAATGTGGCCCAGAATTGTAGCATTGCCATTTTACAGATGAGGAGATCGAGGCAGAGATATCTTACATAACTTACATATGCCATGCGTCAGTTTCTCCAAATGGAAGACATAGTCCCCTAATCTGTGGCTGTGACATTCCTTGAGCCTGTGTTTCTGATGCTTGAAAGATACCAAGCACTTCTGGTAGCTGAGTTACAAGGGGCCACCATGCAGGGAAAAGCTGGGCATTTACAGCTCAGCCATGGGTCTTCCTGAGTAGCCATGAGGCCTCGGAAACACCTGTCACCATTGCCTGCTAAGCCTCAGCTCCTCATTGTGGAAGCTGGGGCTGGGGGAAGGATCTAGGGTACCTTCCAACCCGAGTCCCAGTCTGGCCTTGTCGTGACTCCAGCAAATGGGCAGCAACAGGCAGGACCATCCAGAATGTCAGACTTTTCCCTGGGTTCCTGCAAGCATCCTGCTGACCCTTTGAGGAATACCTGTGGAGCCTAGGCATGGTCCTCAGCCCTGCAGAGAGGAGCATTCTTGGCTGCAGCTGCCACCTACCTAGAGCCCCAGGATTCTCCTGGGTGGGCCCTAGAAGTCCGGTGACTGTGGCCAGGCCCCACCTCCCTTAGTAAACCTGGCTGGACTGCCCTGGGTGCTGATCTGAATTAGCAGTGTGCCCATAGATTAAATGACTTCACTCCTTTTTACCGTCAGAAAGAAAGAGGAGATCCAGCCAATTTTCCTGGAGCCTTCTGAGACTGCAGAAACTAATCGTGCACTTGGGACTCGGAGTTGTAAAGAAGAGGTCCGTGTTTCAGGACAGACAGTTTAATTTGGTGGCAAGGAGGCCATTGTCAATTTCCTAATGGGCCAGAACGAGGACAGATGCCTTCTCTGCCTGTCAATAGGACGTGTCACAGGCAGTCCCAAGGAAGCGGCATTTTGTGCCCTGTAGTGGTATAATCTCTCTTCTGCTTAATAATCCTGGCAGCTGGGCTGGGGATTTAGCTCAGTGGTTCCACCGCCTGCCTCGCAAACACAAGGTCCCGAGTTCAATCCCCGGTACCAAAAAGAAAAAATCCTGGCAGCTGTTTTACCTTTACCACTCAGGTGACATCTGTGAGTGGCCAAAAAGCATGGAGTGTTTAGCTGTCTAGATGTAGGGACTGTGGCTGTGTCTGCTGACAGAGGGCCCAGGCCAGAGGGGGAGCATGGGTTGAGACCTGTTCAGGCTTTGAGGGTATGAGACTGAGAACCTCCCATGGAAGGGCAGCAGGGAAGGGGGGTCACTGTGACTTTGGGGTGCACAGTGACCATGGGGCCCCCAGGATGGCTGTGCATCTGATGGGCCCTGCGCTTCCCCTGATCTCCAGTGAGGACAGGTGCGATGGATGGATCATAGCAGGAAGGCCAGAAGGGAAGCACCGCGTGAAACAGCAGGGGCCTGGCTAAAGCCAGCCTGCCAACCCTCGCTCCATCAGAGTCCATATTTCTTCTTCCCTGGGGTATTTAAAAACACAGACATTTAAAAATCAGGTGAATTTAGCCAAGAATATTACACAGGGGTTTCCACATTCTTTGTTCTTGGTGATGCAAATGATGAACTCTGAATCATTTCAATGCCTTCAAGATAAATGAATAAAAGAGGCAGCAGATAGCTTTTAAAATGTCTTAGGCTCATACATACATTGTCACCAAAATGAATGCATCGTACAGGCACTCTCTTTACTGACAAGGCTCTGTGTGGGGTTCTGAGGAAGAAACACTGCCAGCCAGAGCCCACCACATGCTCATGTGCGTTCCCTACCACACCGAGTGTGAATCCAGGCCAAGGCAGGGGCACACATGCTTCCTCAGTGCACCCAGCTCCTGACTTGGGAGCGCAGAAGCAAGTTTAGATAGTGAGCATCCGCATGATGCAGTCTGCTCGTTTCCTGAGTTTTGGGCGGTTAGAAGTAAGAGTCAGGTAGCAGGTGTCTTCTCAAAACTGTATTAAATCCATCTGGTTTCCGAGTTTGAAGAGCTGGATTTTGGAAGCCAAGGCATGCTCAATGTGCAAAGAGCAATGGTGGAGCAGGAGTGCTGCATCCTCCATCGCGACCTCCCAGGAGGGGCGAGGGTCAAGGAAAGTCTGCAGGAAGACTGGAGAGAAAGATTTAGCGATTGCCTCTACTGTGACAAGACCCCCTAGACTCCACAAGGTTGAGCTGTATAATTTAATTGGCACAACAGCCCTATTAGGTATGAGTGCTGTTATGTCATCTCCATTTTTTTGGATGAATACAATGAGACTGATAGAATGAAATGGGCCAGGCTTGGTGGTACACACCTGCAGTCCCGTATTCTGGGAGGCTGAGGCAAGAGGTTTGCAAGTTTGATTGAGCCCAGCCTGGACAACTTAGTGACTTAAGTGAAGCCTTGTCTCAAAAAAAAAAAAAAATTAAAGTCTAGAAATAGAGCTCAAAGTAAAGGCCCTGAGTTCAATCCCCAGTACTGTACCATAAAAAAAAAAATTGGGGGTGGGGGGGCTGAGGGTTTTAGCTCAGTGGTTCCGCCACCTGCCTCACAAGCGCAAGTTCCCGAGTTCCATCCCCGGTACCAAAAAAATAAAATTTTTTTTAAACCCTTGCCTGGTTAGTAATGACAGAGCCAGAATCTGAATTCTACTTGGCCAGCTCCAAAGCAGAGGCTTGAGCTGCCCAGGATAATGGCATCTGGGGGAATGGGAAGGGTCGAAGGTGAGTGTTTGGGATTGTTTGTTGCTTACCAGGTGTTCACTGAAATCCTGATCTGCCATAGGAGCACATATGCCAGGGATAGTAGGGTGGGCTGGAGGTGCCAGGGCCAGGAAGTCAGACAGTAGTCTGAGGGGGCCTTGCAGAGGATGGAGGTGCATGGGGGAGTGTGTACAGGATGCTACTGAGTTGGCCGAGAGCCAGGGAGGCTGGTGACTAGGACAGGGGCTACTGCCACCATTGTCACATGACTCTTCTGGCCTGTGAGGTGCTGCTCACTTGCATGGCCACGACTCAGAGGCTCACTTGTTTTCAGGGAGCTGCCATGGCTTCTTGCTGAGAGGATCTGCCTCACGCCAGTGGGTGAAGTGACCCGGCAGGACTCAGGTCTCTGCACCCAGCCCCATCTGTCTCAGACCCACGTGACGTGCACTCGCTGTGTACTGCCGTGTGCTCATCGAGCTTTGAACACACGTGGACAGTAGAGAAAGACCATCCTTCGGGAGCGTACAGTTCAGCCCCTGTCCCCAAATCATCCAGCACCACACACTGCTAAATGCACCACAAGTCTTTTCTGGAATATCCACTACGTGACAGGCTCACACGTCCAGGGCTGCGAAGCCCTGGCACCCTCATCCTGTTTATTCCTTCCTTCAACAGGGTGCTCAGCACTGATGGAGAAGATCAGAGTGGCCCGTTAACAAAGGGGAGGGACCAGCTATGATGGGGTGGCTCGGGTGACTTAGAGGCTGGTTGATCATTACCTCGGTTCTTACTCTACAGGGTGACTCCAGAGAAGTCCTCATCACTTGAGGCACAGTCTGGTCCCCAAAAGATGATTGTTCCTGCTTGGTGGGGGGAGGCAGACAAGGCTCTGCTGGAGTCCAAAATGACAGCAGCTTATAAGACAATGACTGGAGACCTTGAGGTGCCCTTTCCAGGGGGCCTGGAAGTCGAATGTCCCTGCAAATCTCTTATCTCGGTATCCTCAGTCTTGAAGGGGGATGAGATAGGCTAGGTACACGTGGGACTAAGACCTTCCTTAGATGATTGACCTGCTTACATGCAGAGCTGAGCAGCGATCTGACTCCCAAGTTTCAAGGTGATAAAAGAGATGCAAAATGAAGGCAGAGATGCAAGGCTTTATCCTGCTTTTTACTCATCGGCCCAAGGAAAGAGTTAACTTTTTTAGCAAAAGCAGCTGTTAAGTTCCCGACAACCTCAGAAGAAAACATAAATCATGCTTTTAATGAGTAACAGGCTAAGGGCCCAAGAGTTTGTCCCTCTCTGGTGACCCCAACAGCTTTATTTTCTCATCTAGTTTATTCCTGGAGAAGCTATGGCGAGCCATCCAGGCCTTAATGATGCATCTGGTTTGTGAGGGCAAAGGCAAAAGCATATGCCATACATTTGATGGGCAACAGGTCCGAGATGAGACCCAGGAATGCGCTGTCACTCTGCGACACTTCACTAGGAACAAGAGAGCAAGGCAGGATGCCAGGTCCCCCGGAGTCACATGTCTTCTTTCCTCTTTAGGCTGAGGCCCTTCACCTCCTACAAGCTGCGCCTGAAAGCCACCAATGACATTGGGGACAGCGACTTCAGTTCAGAGACTGAGGCGGTCACCACTCTGCAGGATGGTGAGCGAGCAGCCCTGAAGCCCAAGACTTGCTCCTGGGAGGGGCCCACTTTCATCCTGAGCCAGGAAGGAAGGGGTTGCCAGAGAGGTGGTGAGCAGCAGAATCTCATTAGTAACAGACAGCTTGGAGTATTCCCACACACCCCTCAATCGTAAATCAAGGCATCAAGGCCTTCCAAATGGAATAGGACTTTCTTTGATTGTCTTCCAAAGCCCCTATGTCCATTAGCATCCCAAAAATTGAATAATTGATAGGGTTGTTAAAAATAAATGTCAGTGGGTAGCTGGGTTTGAGAGGCTTCCCCCATTTTTTCTCATTTAAGAGGTGCTACATTTGAGAACAGCACAGGTAAGTGATGGAAGGCAGAGCCCCTCAAAGCACCAGGTGGATTTTATGTCCCATCCTACCTCAGAGCCGCTGGGCCTGAAGATTCATTGTAATTTCCTGTGACCTGGTGCTACCGGGCCCCAGTGAGCCCAAGGGACAGTTCCATAATATATGTTGGGCTGTGTAGCCCACCCGTGGGATAAAAAAGGATAGATATTTTGCAGCACACAGCTCCAGTGCACAGTCTGAGCACTTAGTTCGCCTAGCAGTGCTTTATAACAATTCCCTAAGCCAGCCCCAAAGCACTGTCTTTTCCATTTCCTGCACCAGTGGAACAATTTTCAAATAGACCAGCTTCCAGCTGGCTCAGCCCCTACCTCACATCTTCAGTTCTGCTCTTTTTAGAACCTGTAAGTGTAGCTGCTGCCACACAGGGCCTCACACAACCTGAGAGCCCAGCCCAGAGGTGGAGGGGGCCGTTCTCAGCGTCTCAGTGGCAGGCAGGGACTGCCGCAGACCCAGTTCTCCCAGTGGGCAGAATCTGCCGGTTTGTGCCCTAAATGAGGGGCCTTCCAGGCTCTTGGAGGCCCCTGGCTGGCCAAGTCCCCCCAGGAGGCCAGACCTGCTTTGACAAATGACTTGGTGGCTCCAGCTTCAAGGAAAGTCCAAAGTATTTCCTGGCCCTATAATCCTAGGAGTTTGTTAGAGCCCAGGGGCAGCCCGAGGGGTGGGAGCAGGGAGGGGCAGGCATGCTGACTGGCTCAGCAGCCCTGCCAAGAGCCCAGTCAAATGCAGAGAGCTCGTGGCAGGCCCAGGCCCGTGGGGAAATCAAAAGGGAGACCAACCGCTTCGTTCGGGGTAAGGCATCCCATAGCCCAAGCTCCTGACCCCTCTGATCAAGCCCCTCAGGGTGGGACTGACTTCTCACGCCCCAACAAAGGCAGGCTGGCACTGCAAGCTTAGTCACAGCCCAAACTTCAAATGCCTTCATTTTAACCCCGCGCTTTATGCAGCTGAGGTAATATTTGCAACTGTGCACTCATTCTTAGAGTAAAGTAGAAAGACACACAACAAGAAGGTTTCATTGTCGTGTTATCTCTGACAAACCCTGTGAGCATGAGATGGAACAGCTTCCCATGATCATGGTCAGGGGCTGGGCCTTTCTGAGAATCTATTCTTCAGACTCCTAAGGCCTGTCTTAATCCTTTGATATCCACATCAGTGCTTTTGATGCACCTATCATCATCTTCCTTTTCAGAGAGGTGCAGTTTCCCCTGGCTGGAGGATTTGCATTGTTTGTGCTCCATTGTCTCTGGCTGTCAGCCAAGAGTGACAGCCTTCGTGACCTGGGCTGGGTGGGGAGGGTCCTTTGAGCCTGCGGAAGGTTTACTGATACACAGTTTCTTATTAGGGTGGTTTTTATTTCCATGCCCTATAACCGATCTAATGTGAGGGACTCTCAGAAGAGCTGGACCCAGGCTCCCCTGAGGACAGACCAGCAGGAAACTCAAAGGAGGAGTGGACTGGGGGGGCGTGATCACAGGTCTAGAGGTGAATCGGAATAGTGACCCAGGCATTGTGGAGGGGCACTCACACGGGAGGCACTCACACGGGAGTGTGGGGCACCTTCAGTCTAACTCAGCTCAGGGAGTATTTATTGGACATAGACTATCAGGCCTTGTCCAGGACCTTACAGCCAGGCAGACAGAAAAATCAATTCAGTGCCCTAGAGAGGACTGCATTGATTTGCAGAGGGACACAGGAAGGATCAAAGAAGGCCTCCTGATGTATGGGATAACACAGATTTTGCTTTGACCACAGGGCAGGGCTCAGCCTTGGGCAGAGGTCAAACCAACCCTGTCCTTCAAGAGGCCAGAGCAGAACTGCCTGGGCTCCCAGACCATGACCCACTGCCCTTTGCCTTGGGCAGCTTCACCAAAATCAGCTTCCTTTTCCGACAGCCACATTAGAATTCAAACCCAGAGTGTTGCTGTCTGGCATGACCATCTTTCCCATGCAGGAGAAACAACTCCAACCTAAGACTTCAAAAAATGATGTATGCCCACCACTCCCCAACGTTCTGGAACTACAGGAAGCTCCCAGGCAACTGTCACTGGAATGAGTGGCCCTTAGAAGGTCTGCCAGGGCAAGGTCAAACTCAATTAAAGTCTTTGTGAAGAGCAAAGGTGGGGAGAGTGCCTGTGCCCATGCTTTTTGGGATGGGGACCCTTCAGGAGCTCTTTAAAAAGCAAGAAGGCTGACCATGGGGAAGAGGGGCAGGACTGGTCACCCCAGGCCATTCTAACTCCACTTCTGGGCTTCAGTTCCAGGAGAGCCTCCAGGGTCTGTCTCTGCTACACCGCACACCACTTCCTCCGTGCTGATCCAGTGGCAGGTAAGAGCTCGAAGCCCTGGTAGTTTATAAGACACACTCTTCATCTCTGGCCCCTTCAGCCAGGTTTGCTGGACATGGATACAAGCCATGCTGACACCAAATGTGTAAGTGGAACAGGGATACAGCCTGATCAGCTGCCAAGCAGAGGGGAAACTGGTGTCAAAGTAATTTCCTAAACACTACAATCATGACCACAGGGCCAGATCAGAATGAACCTGTCCTGGACTCCTCAGGGCAGGCAGGCAGGTTGTCAGGACTGGGTCAGGCCATTGCAGGAATGGATGCCTATAGGCCTGGACAGAATGCTGGAGTCCTCTCTTCCCAACGTCCTTCAGGGCAGCCAGTTCACCTGCAGCTACCTATTTGCCTAGAGAAGTCACTCACAGCTATACAGAATGGCTACAGGGTTGTGCATATTTTTGCAAAGTCAAGATCTTTAATCTCCAGTGAATGTTGAAGCAGACAAGCCATGTTTCCCTGCTACCAGGCCATCCTCAGCAGGTCTGTGGAGCAGAGTGTTCCATCACAGCATGGAAAGGACATGCCACCCTCTCTGTGCCTATTCCCAGTTCTGGGTCATATTTACTAACTGTAGGGTGCATGGAGGATACAGATAACAGAGGCAGAGGCCCTGGAAAGCCCGGCTGGGGAACCAGGGCCAGAATCTGCAGACAAAGGCTGGGCCCAGGATCTGGGACAGAGGTGCAGGAGGCTGGTTTAGCTCCCCAGGGTCAGGGCTTTCCCAGGCAGGTACAGCAGACCACTGGGCCGCCCCTAACACCAGAATGGGGGCTATCATGCTGAGGAATGGGGGGCCCCAGAGGCAGCAGATGCAGGATAGGGCCATGCAGGGTAGTGGGTTCTGTTGGGCCCTGGGCAAAGCTTGGCTGGTCTAGGTGTGGCCACAGTGAGCTAGGGCCCATGGGGGTAGTGTGTGGGCATGAGTGTGACTCTTTCTGAGATTGTCAGCACCATGGAGGATGGCAGCCAGCTTGACTCCAGAGTGGGCAGGAAAGAGGACAGTGCCATGGAGTTCAGGAGACAAAGCTGACCTCAGTGACGCTGAAAGCCATGCCAGACTATGGTCTGGATTCCACTTTGGACAGCTGAGAGGGCTGTGTTGTGACCATATGGCTCAGCAGGGGCTAGAGGGGGTCATAAAAGGGACAGTGCCACAAGGCCATCAAGGACTCATCCAAGGGAGTGTTTCCCAGGCCCCGAAGAGGGGCAGCTCAGTGGACTTCCTGGGCAGCTCAGGGCCAGGACTGGAGCTGAGGGGAGGGGACCGAGTCAGGAGACCTAGGTGGGCTGGAGGAACCTTGTGACAGAAGTGTCCAAATTGTCGTACTTGTGACTGTCGACTCCTAACCTGCTTCCCTGGCAAGGCTGTCATTTGGTGGTGTCAGTACTAGACTGAATCCTAATAAATGACTCCACAGTCGAGGGACAGAGGTGGCCATTTCGTAGGGTTCAACTCAATGACTCTTGTTACTGCCACTTGTTTGACTTCAGTGAGCCAAGTTTCTGCCAAGAGCATGTCATCTCCTCTCAATATCCGTGGAATCATGTGGCCCCTTCTTTGCCTCCTTTCTGTGGCCTAGTGGCTTCTCTGCAGAGGACAGAAACCTTCCAAAGTGACAAAAAGACATTTCCAAAGGTCTCCTGGTGAACCTGAAAATTCACTGCCATTCAGCCTCTTCTAGGTTTACTAAAGGGTAGGGAATTGGGTGGGAACAAGAAGGCACAGGCTAGGCTCCCACCCTCTCCCAGCTGCCTGGAAGCCCCTGCCAAAATGACAAAGGACCTGGCCTCCATCTCTCCAGGGCCACTGGGGAGGCCAGTGAGAGGCCTCTCTGGCTCTAGATCCTACTCTGGAAACAGAAGTCTCAGAAGCCAAGGAAGGTCTTTGGTATTCCAGCTCCATTGCACCTGCAGTGCCCACTCCGCCCCAGTTCCTTGAGGGGTGGTGTCAAGAAACATCCAAAATGGAAATGCAAGTTCCCAAGCACTTGTGTCTCCCATGCTCCACAAATGTAATCAGCTGAAAGAAGATTGGGCTTTTGTACCGTGTTAAATTCCACTCAAAAATCAGCATTTTCTTTGTAGGTGTGGCTGTTGGTCTGCCAATCACGAGATAAGCTCCTTTCTCTAAAGGCAGCCAACACTCAGGCCGCAGTAGGTCGATCCCTGCAGATCAGTGACCAGGAATGCAGAGCCTACCCCAGTAAGCACTAGTGTCCTGCCCGCGACAGCGCGCATCCAGCCTCTCCGCTGCTGCTGCTGGACAGCTCTGAGGTGCGGCACAGAGCTTCTCCAGAGGAGCTTGGCATGTGTGTCCATCAGCCATCCCCTTCAAAGCGATGGAACAAACTAATTGCAAGAAGGCCTGAGCAGGAGGTGGTCAATACACTTCATTGTAGGAACGAACGCCTGTCAACTGCCAGGCAATTGAGGTACAATTGAAATTATGAGTAATTTGCTAAATCAGAGCCAACAGAACAAAGGAAATGAAACTAGGTTTAAATATAGATTTGCATTCCCAATGAAATGTCTCACCTGTAAACCTTTGTTTTTTCAGTAATTTGCTGAAAAATGCAAGCGCCAGCTGTAATTTCAAGGCAGCAGACCCATTTAACTGCCCCCTCCGCCACACCCTGTCGGTCTGATTCTTCTTGGTGCGATAATCAATCTATGCCTCCTTGGGGTCCTGTTCTGTTTGAAATCCTGGGCTCTGAACATGCAACCCAGATGGGAGGGGTGCTGTGTTCATGCTGAGCGTCCTCGGAACAGGCAAGGAGGTCTCAGAGTCCATCCCAACATTGACACTGACTCTTCTAAACTTCCCCGGGGGCCATGCTGCCTGCCACTCAAAAGCAGTCCCCTCAGGCAGCTCGGAGTCCTCCAGGTGGATCTGGGCACTGTTTTCTAGCAAAGAAAAAACCCCAAGCCATAGATCACCTCATGCTTGGAGCTGCTGGAGGAAGATGGACTCACTGTTGTCACAGGCACCTCCCCAGGGAGTGTGACAGCTGCCGGGCAGGGAGCAGGGCCTCAGGGCTTCTTCAGAACAGATCCTGGAATTCTTTCTTTTCACCACTTGCACCGCAGTGTGCAGAAGGCCGGCTCCCGGGCGGAGATCTGGACTCCTGAGGTAGAAGAGACAGACAAAGAACTGGAAGAGCTCAGTTGGAAGGCAGCAGGGAGCTGATAACTGTGGCCAGAGGGACACCTAGGTGTAGTTCAAGGGACAGATGGCCTCCTCAGGAACAAGGCAAGAAGGCACAGCCTGGGCGAAGGCAGGAAGTTGCCAGCAGTTTGATGCTGTTTCAGAGGAAGGCACCTTGGACCTCCTGTGTTCCTCTAACCACTGGGCTTAACTCCAGAGGGAATCCCTGTCCCCTCTCCGGGAAGTGGAAGTCGTGGCCAGGGACTGTGGCAATTCAATTCAATTTGGACTTGGTCCCAGCTCCAACTCCTGCTCTCCCTCAGCCCAGGTCCTCACCTGTGGAACTGTCCTAGCCAGGGTCTGCCTCAGCTTCTTCCCACCTGAGCTGTATGGCCCAGCCCGTCCCTGTCAGGCAAGAGGGAGCTCGGGGTGGGAATCCTGCTCCCTTCCAGCCCAAGCCCTTCCCTCCTGGGCTCTCCAGTGCACCACTGTCTCCCTGCTGTGCTGTGTGATAACACCCTGACACACTCCTGCAAGGTCACCTCTATTTTCACAGGGGGCTTTTAGAAGGAGAAAACCCACTCAGGACTCTCACAGCCTGATAGGGTTAGCAGAAGACATTAGGAGAGTTCCTGGTCCCTCCAAGCATCTGCCCGCACACATGGCCAGTCAGGCTGAACACAGCACAGACACAGTTGTCTTAGTCTCCAGAGAGCAGACTGAGTACCTGCTTCGTCCAAGCCCATCCATCCCCTCTGCTGAGAGAAACACACACAGGAGGCAGACAGAGCCTTGACCCTGGGCACTTGGCAGTTCAGAAATGTCAACTGAGGGCTGGGAGAACTGGTCTGGGTGCAAAGGGACTTCTGTTTAGACTCATAACACTTGGAGACCATCAGTTCAACTCCCACCTCTTATGGGCGAAGAATGAGCCTGGGGATTCAAGTGATCACAGTGGTCAGAGAGCAGATCCAGAGACCACCCCACCCAGCCCTTCCTGGGCCCATGTATCCCAGGGAGCTGCCCTCCCATGACCTCTGAGGGCCTCCAGGGCCTTAGAGGACACCCACCATACAGGATGACCTGAACTCCACAGATAGAAAGCTAGGTTACGCACAATCCAGAATCCCATGCTTGCGGTCTCACTGTCTCCGAGGTCACAGTCCTTGGTAAGTGAAGCTCGGCTAGGAAGATGGACCCTGGGCCAGCTGTGGCCTCTATGAAGCCATCCTTGGGACTCAGTCAGCCAGCTTTATGCCACTGTAACAAGACACACAAGGTAATCAACTTACAAGAAAAAAGGTTCGCTCAGCTCCCAGTTCTAGAACATATGGTCCGTGATCAGGCAGTCTAGCTGCTTTGGGCATGTAATGAGGGTCCCAGATGGCAATGTTGGGGAACACAGGGAGGAGCACACTGCTCATCTGGTGGCCAGGAAGAAAAAGAAATATGGAGCAGCTGGGATCCCACAGTCCCCTTCAAAGATTTACCCCCACAGCAACCTGGAGCCTCCTGTGTCCCAAAGGTCCCAGCACCTCCTGGTAGCACCACCCTGAGGACAGTCCTCTAGCACACAGGCCTCTGGGGACAGTCATCCGAGCCACAGCAGGGCTGTGCCTCCTCCCTGGAAGACTCCTACTGGCAGGGGAGATGCATTTTGACCCTTGAGATGCTCAGGGACTTCCGGTGCAGGCGCTATCTGTCAGCCCATTGGCAAATGTGACCTCAGCCTGGTGGTCTTTGTGCCTGTGAGTGGGGAGACTGGCCTCTTTTACCAATGCCTCAGAGTATCCCGTCCACCTTGGCTAGATATACTCCTGAGTTCAAGGTCAGGGGCCCTAAGTCACAGGATATGCATCTCAGGGCTTGGAAATGGTGTCTCTGCTGCCAGCTGCAGAACCACACTTAGTCCCCAGGCAGAGCATTTTTGATTTCTAAGCCTCCCCACTTCCTGCTTATTTGATATTTTTGGTGAATCACATCCCAACCTAGGCCTCCTCCTGCCCCATGGCAAATTGCCCTGGCTGGGACTGCCTCTCCAACTCTGAGTGCTGCAGGGCCAGCAGCAGAGCCTTGGCCATCCTCCTGCTGGGGCGAGTGCCTGAACTGCTGCAGGAATAATCTGGGACTGTGAGGGAGGCTTTGAAGGTGACCCTTGAGATTGCCAGGCTGGCACTTAGAGACCCAGCTGCAAGCATTTGATCTGCCCACTCGCATCTCCCTTCTTGCTGATTCCAGTCAGCGCAGATCCCAGAAGCATAAGCATGAGCCTTCTCAGCATCCCTGCCAGAGCCCTGTCATCCCCACCTTCTCCTAGTGTGAGTGAGGACAATGCCAAGGCAGGCTGCAAGATCAGGCTCCCGGCACCTGTCCATGCGGTTCAGGGCAGTAGAGCAGGGTGTGTCTCCCTCTCTGGTCAAGGTCAAAGTCCTGGCACTCTTGGGAGGAAGGCTCTGCTGTCATTTGGCAGAGGGCTCCTCACCCATGCATTTCCACAAGACGGGGTAGCAGTGGCCCAGGGTAACAGCTGGGCCCTGAGTGGCTGTTTAATGACTGGGGGAAGCTCCGTTCTGGCCAGTGTCCTGAGTTGAGCTTCAGATCATCCTGGGAGTCCACCATGGGGCACAACACAGGCCAGGGGGCTGCACCCTTAGCCTGGCTCTTCTGCCCAAACCTGCCTCAGCCATGGGAGGCTTCCCCTCCCCTTGCATCCCCTAAAGGATCCATACCAAGTGCTGTGACCATCTCCTCCTCCAAGGGCCACTCAGAGTCATTGGTCTGTAATTTAGTCCCAGATCTTCCTTGGCAGTAAGCACTGCTCAAGAAAGCTCCACAGTCTTTGCTTACTCCCTGCCATGGCACTCAGGGCATCATGGCACAGGAGATTGCATAGACCTAAGGAGGTGGCCAGGTGACAGCTGATTCCCCCAAATGCAGACCCCAGTGGTTTCATGTATTTTCTGCACCCATGCTACAGCTGTGTGGAAGCCTTCCCTTCCTCCTGCCCTCATCCCTGCTGTGTTTTACCACAGGCCCATGGACAACATCTGTGCAGTGACCTGCAGTCACAGGGACAGACATGCTAGGGTCTCTGATCCACTGTTGGCAAAATAGCTAAGGCCAGCATTTCCCTGAGGACTCTACTGGGGTAGAGGTAAAATTGAGACAGCATAGGAAATGCCTGTGATTCTTACACATCCGCTTTCCAATTTTGTAAAAAACAACAGTGAGCAATTCTGAGATAAGAGAGGGATTTATTCTGAGCCAACACGAAAGACGGTGCCCAGAACAAACCTCAAGTTAACCACAGGACCTGCACTAAGACATGGTCCCTGCTGTAAAGAGACTCCGGAAGCCTTTTACAGTCCCAGAAGAAAGCCAGAGAGTCCTCAGAGCCAGAGGACAAAAACATGGATGGATAGAGAATCATCCACAAGACTCGGTGCTGTTTTCAGTGAGGAAGGGGAAATTGTCCACAGGATTCAGGTGCTGTCTCCTTCCGGGCCTTAAGAGTGATAGAGTCCAGAGGTCAGAGGAGCTGGCATGCTTTTTAAGATTTCATCCAGTAGTCACATGGAATTGCCTTGCAGTCAGATGTGGCCTCTCATATAATAACTCCCTCTGCCCTGGACCCACGCTTGGCTCTACCACCCAGCCCAGAGGGCAGAGCTGTATCCAGGCCGAAACCTCCACTGACGGAGCTCTTCCAGCTCCTCTGCTATGGGCCAGCAAGGCCTGGCAAGTCCACCCAGGTGTCCACTCACACTTTTCTGCCTCTTCCCAGGTGTTCAGTGCTGCAGCGCTATTCCTGGGTTGGAGGGATACGGAGAATGACAGGGAGCTGCTAGCCTTCCTGTGTGGCAGGCTGGGGCCTGCATACTCAGTGTGTTAGCAGCTATCATTTGGAAAGACATCCTGGGTGTGACAGGTGCACTCTGTGATCCTCTGGTCAAGTGTGATTATTGTTGCTAACAGTGTTAATTCATGTCACCCTCGGAGGCTGAGGCAGGAAGGTCACAGCCTAGCTACTAAGTCGCTACTAGCTACTAGGTCCCAGCCTAGGGTACTAAGCAAATTAGTGTCTCAAATTTTTAAAATAAATAAAAGGGCCTGGGAATATAACTCAGTATGAAGGCCCTGGGTTTAATCCCTACTATAGCAAAAACAAAACAAAACAACAAAGAGAAACATGTATTCCTGAGTTTCTGAACTATTCACTTGGAGGGTTTGGAGAGCAAAGTATGCTGAGTGCTCCAACTCTGAGTTTTAGATCATGAGTAGCAGGAGTTCAGAGGAAGGGGCTTATCTGAAAACCCAGATCCTTCTGGTCCCTGGGTTGGACAGATTAGAGAGTAGGGATTAGAGTGAACATTCTCACAGCAAGGGAGGATCGGTTTCCTGGGGCTGCTGTCAAAAGGACCACAGGCTGGAGGGCTTAAAACATTGGAATTTTATTCTCTCATATTTCTGGAGACCAGAAGTCCAAAATCAAAGTGTTGGCAGGTCCACACCCTCTCGGAGAAAGGCCCTTTCCCGGCCTTTCACAGGGCCCCAGCTCCTGTGATTGACAGCAACCCTGGGATCCCTTGGCTTTCTGATCTCTTTCAGTCTCTGCATGACGTTCTCCTGTATGTCACCAGTCTAGATTTCCCTCCTCTTGTCAGGACACTAGTCAGTGGAGTAGGATGACCTCATCTCAACTATAATTCCGTCCACAGAAGACCCAGTCTCCTAATGAGGGCCCTTCACAGCCGCTAGCAGTTAGACTTGAACACCATGCAGCCACAGCAATGGGAGTCTCGGATAGGAAAGCTGTGGACTTGGCTCAGGCCACGGGACAATGTCCTTGAGTACTCAGCCACTCTGTAGGAGACGGGGAACTCAGGATTCCTCCTGTCCTTGGTAAGGTTTCATGACCTTGCCTCATCCATTTCCTGGCCTCAGCTTAGGTTGTCACCCTTCATTCTTCACCTGAGCCTCCCAGGAGGAGAAACCAGACTGGTGGAGCCCCAGTACCCAGCCTATCTGTGGCCAGTGGGGCTTCATCAGAAGCCTGCATGGAAGGAGGCCTTCCTTCGACTGACAGATCTGTCAGATACACTAAATATCCTCCTCTAAATTGCTAACTGACACCGACGGGGGAGAGGAAGACAGCCCTAGCTGGGTCGTGAATGGTGAGCAGCCACTTGCTCCCATGGACTGGGAGAGGTCTTTGATCCCATACACTTGTCTCAGCAGGATCTGAGCCTGTGTTCTCTGCCTGCCCTGTGTGCCCTATGGGAATGTGCCCTGCCCTGTCTGCCCTCCTTGTTCTAACAGATGTGGGGGCCATGAGGAATCCAGCCTTGGTCTGGCATGTGGAGGGGTCAGTGAGTTGCCCAGTGCAGCTGCCACAGCATGGGTGACAAGGATGAGCAGCCAGGGCAGGGCTGGTCAGGGGGCCTGGGCCACATCCCAGGAGTCCTTGTGATCTGGGGTTACTCCACCTTGGCAGTCTCCTTGCCTTGGGGCTGCCCCTCAGCCTTGGGGCTCCAGCTAGATATGAAGGAAGATGCCTGTGTCCACACACATACCAAGGAAACCCAAGTCTGAGCAGGAGCTCCTCACGAGTCTCACACCTTGCCTTCTTTGCTTTAACAATCAGGAATTGAAGACTTGACCTGGCTACTCCACTGCACAGTTGGCAAGTTAAACTGAGGCAGAGGCTACCAAGCTCCTGACATGACCCTTGGCATGGCTAAGCATGTGATATCTTTGCAGCCTCCGAGGGACGAGAGCCTGAATGGGCTTCTGCAGGGATACCGGATCTACTACCGAGAGCTGGAGTCTGAAGCAGGTGCCAGCCCTGAGGCCAAGACACTCAAAAGCCCTTCTGCACTGCGAGCTGAGCTCACGGGTGAGCCCTTCGCCCCCGCCTGAGACCACCCCACACTGGGTGGGAGGTTCCCAGTGACTTTGCACCATGGGAGCTGGGAGGGGGCAGGGACCCATGCTGGGGACTGGGAGCACATGGTTTGCACTGGTAGCAAGTAGAGTACAGGTTTGAGGCTGGTGGGTCACATCTGGGGGCCAGTGGGGCCTTAAGTGCCACAGACAAAGGGAGGACAAGCATCAGGCCCTGTGGAAGCACTGCTGTGGCATATAGGCATAGCATAAGCCTGCGTCTGAGGCTGGGCCAGCCCCATCATGGCTCTGCTGCTGTCACATGTGTCCTCAGCCTGCAACCTGGCATATCCCAGCCCTGGCCTGCCCTGGGCTGTGTACCACAGAAGCCCCAGCCCACCATGGGGCTGAGCGCATGCACTAGGTCACATACAGGTGCCTATTTGGGGTGACCTCAGGGCAGGGCTCCACGGGTGAGCATCAGCAAGCTGACAGCCCTACTTGCCAGCAAGGCCCAGGAGAAATCGTGTCCAAGTCTTTCCCGGTGTAGCCAGTCAGCATGGCAGGCCCGTTACTGTGCATGTGTTCTGTTCCATCAGAGGGTGGCCCGCATCCTCCTGTCTCGGACTGGTGTCTTGCTATTGTAGGAAGCGCTGTAGCCCCAGAGCCATTGGGAAGGGTGTGGGCAGCGTTGCAGTCACCTCCCCCTCATCTCTGCTGCACTAACTGCTTCCCTTTGTGCTAACTGCCTTTCTGCTTTGCTTCCCCTGATAGCCCAAAGCAACTTCAAGACCGTGAACAGCAGCTCCACGTTAACAATGTATGAATTAACACGTAAGTGTGCAGGCCTCCCACTGGAGGCCACGGTGACCAGGCCTTGCCAATTAGGTTCTCAGTGGACCAAGGGAAACCAGATTGGATTAATGGTGCTAATTTCTGGAGCCCCTCCTTCCCCGAATGATGCTTCTCAACATGCCAGAATCATCAGGGGGCCAGAAAGGAAACTTCTGGAAGTGGAAGCTGGAGGATTTGCAATACTGGCATCTGGTCTCCTGGGCTGGATTGGGCAGGATCGCCTCTCTGATTCCCTTGGGGCTTTCTTTTTTATTCTTCATTTAAGTGGTGAGCATAAAATTTATTGTCTTAACTATTTTTAGTGGGCAACAGTGATCCACTTACCACCATCCGCCTCCAGAGCTTTTCCACCTTCCCACACTGAAAGCCTGTCCTCATTCCACACTAACTCTCCATTCCCAGCTCCCAGCACACTGCCTATCTGAGTCCAGCAACTCTAGGGACCTCCTATGGGCAGAACTTTCTTCCGTCCCCTCGGGCCTGGCTTATTTCCCTGAGAATCGTGTCCTCATGGTTCATCACCTGTTGATAGCAAGGGTCAGAATGTCCTTCCTCTTTAAGGCTGAATAATAGGCCATTGACTATTTGATTCGTTTGGTTTGTCTGGCCATCCTTCCTCTGACCTTAATAAACTGTGCAGCTTTCCCTTGGGTTCTGGCTGAGGATGGGTTTCAAGATTCAAATGTTAGGGCTGGGAATGTGACTCAGTAGTAGAGCATTTGCTTAGCATTCATGAGGCTCTGGATTTGATCCCCAGCACCTTGAAAAAAATCCAGTATGGTCCTGATGGTGATCCCCTAATGTGATTTTCTTTGATGCAGAGAACATGGCTGGGTCCGAGTAGATGGGGGCTAGGGGAGTGGAGCCAAGCCTTTCAGAGCCCCTCTGACATTTCTTCAAGGGCTTCATCCACACCATGCCACTCCACCCACCCACTGTGGGCAGCAGACCCAGCCCCGGATCCAGGACAGGATCCATCCCAAGATGTGTCTTCTCCCTGTGCCACACTCCTTCCCAGAGCACCACCTGGCCAGCAGGTCCTTTGCTCACCCCCATCACTCTTTCCCCGTGTTCACTGCCCCCAGGCACATGTTTGTGAAGTATCTGCCCAGGCCACGCACCTCCCACACACCCCTTGGCAGAGGAGCAAGTTAGAGCTGGGGACCTACCCAGTTCAGGCTAGGAAGACCCCAAGCCAGAGGTCGTGCTAGGCTTTCAGCCTCCTCCTCCCAGGACTCTGTAGCCCTGTGAGTCCCTGGGTTGAGACCCACTAGCCAGGCTAGAGGGGTGCAGCAGCACTTCCTGTGGGCTGGTCTCTGCTCCTGCCAGGCTGAGAATCAGAGCGCGGGATCTCAACTCAGCACGTGGGCAGAACCAGAACCAGGCTTGCTCTCTTAACCCAGGGTGGGAGGACCTCAGCAGCAGCCTCGCTGAGGGAGGCACGATGTAAGGCCTGGTGGGAGTCCCGTGCTCACCCCAGAGGTGGCAAAGCCACACTAACCCCACGGCGGTATCCCGGTGGGAGAGTTCTAGGACACTGTGGCTTCCAGGTCAGCTCCTCTCTCCCTGTCACTTAGTGTGGGGCCAGCACTCAGCCACCTACCTGTGTCACTCTACAAACATGGCTTCCCACACACATGCGTTTCTTCCCTGCACATGGTCATGAAAAACTCGAGGGCCTCTGGTCTACTTATGTCTTTGTAATTTTTTTTAAATGCCAATATCTCCCTGCACCTGTTGGTAGTTCTCTGGAGAGCTCCAGGCCAGAGCTGGCTTCAGTGGAGCTCTGCTCTGGGAAGCCCTTCATGGTGTGCAGGGTGGGCGGATCCTCCTGTTCTGCAGGTGCTTGATTGACAGGCAGAAGGAGGAGGAGGGATGTGACCTGTAATAGGGCTGCAGACAGGTCACAGACCACTGTGGGAAGCAATTTAACTGTTCTTGCCTACCCCCAGGGTGCTGATTCCTCCAGTGAGGGCCATGGAGGGAGCTTTCTAAGGAGGTCGCACTGCAGGCTGATCAATCTCTTTTGCCCTCATAGATCTGAAGAAGTACAGGCGCTATGAAGTGATCATGACCGCCTACAACATCATTGGCGAGAGCCCTGCTAGTGCACCCGTGGAAGTCTTTGTCGGCGAGGCTGGTAAGTTCTGCACATCCCCGACCCCCACAGTACAGGGAGTGGAACTCAATGGCTTGGATTTGAATCTCTGTGGTCCCTCCCTGAACATGTCATGGGTGGGGTAAAAGTTTGCGTGTCTGGCTTAGCAGGGTTCCAGGCTACCCTAACAGCTCGAGTGAACAGCCGTGTCTCGCCTTTGTGACCTAAAGGGTCTGTTGGGGATCCAGAGCTACTTATTGTATTGTGATGACTTTGTTCCGCAGGAGAGAAGTGATTTACTCGGTGAGGGTCCCAGGGTATGAGAAGTGGGAACCTTGGGGTCTGGAAGCATGGGTGTTTGTACTTAATCACCCACCTATCCAGTATTCTGTGGGCTTCCTCTGTGGCCCTGTGACAATGTCACATTCTCTAGGTGTACAGAAACTATGTGGCTCTGTGTCTCTACCCTGCTAAGATGAGACTCTTAGGTTTGACTCAAGGATATTCCTCTGGGGAAACTAACTTGCAGTGAAACATAGTACTGCGACTTCAGACATACTTGCTTCTCCATCTGCCTCCTGGCCTCACTCACGAGACCACACTGTCCCCAGGGACTTGGGGATTCCTGCACTCAGGAGCTCAGCATTTAGCTGATGGCTTTAGAATTTCTGTGGTGGAAGCCTGGGATTGCCGCCTGGGATTGCCGCCTGGGATTGCCGCTCAGGCCAGCTGAGCAGACTGAAAGGTGACACTTCAGGCCCAGGACAATGAGAATGTCCTTGAGGACAGAGTCTCGGCCTTGGCGAAGATGCTGAGCAGCCTCAGGGGAGGTGGGCTTCGGGCCAGAGGATAGAACTGCATCTGGTGACCTTTGGCGATTTAGAGGTCATTGTTAGAAAACAGTCAATGACCCAGAGGGCCCAGGCTTTTTCTGGAAGGATCAGGCAATGTTTGCATACATGTGAGGATGCAGAAATGGAGCATATGAGATTCCTGCCTGTCCTTCCTCAGAAGTCTGTCCTGGGATCACTCAGAGCTGTCACCGTGAGGGCTGAAGGCCCAGTGGAAGGGACTTAACCAACAGAAGAGTCCTGTGGTGGAAGAGGGATGTCACCAGGGCCTCCGTAAAGGGTGACCATGCAGACTGCGCCCCTCCAGAGCCTCTGGGCAGCTGGGCCCCATTGGCCACCGGGACAGGGATGGGAGATTGTACACAACCAGCCATTAGGGGTGCATAGTACCTAATGCCTACCACCAGTCTGCACCCCAGGGATGGCAGTGGGATCCAGGGCTCAGGACTCAAGGGACCAAGGCAGAGCCCAGAGAAAAGTGATACAGCAGGGAAGAAGGAGACCAGGCAGAAGCCCAGCAGTGCCCTGTGGTGACATGGTGCCAGCTCCCAGCTCTGGTTCAGGTACTGTGGTAATGATATAGGAGGAATAGATGTAACTCCCAAACCTACGAGGTATTCAAAATGCAAGTTCATGTTCTCTAAAATCGAAGAATGAATTCTAGGAACAACGGAGGCTAAAAATAGGAAAAATTTATTGCGAAAAAGAAGCCTTTTGTCTAAGAGAGAAAGAAGGGAAATCAGAAAGTGACCGTATTTCCCAGGGGGGGTTAATGGAGCAAAGCCACAGGAGAGGCGGGTTCAAGGTGGGGCAAAACTATAATATCCGATGGAAATTACAAGATAGGCATGAGGTGGGGCAAAACCATGACCAACCTGTAAGATGACAAGCACAGTCACCCAGGTAATGGGATCCAATGGGAAGACAAGCCACATGTAAGGAATTTCCCATTTAGGATATCAATCACTGCTATCTATCTCTAGGGGAAGTAGTACCTCTTCTTTTATAATGCCAACCAGGGAAAGTGCCTTATTGTTCTCCACTGGCTCCTCTCTGTGTTGGCTCCTTGAGAGCTGGCACCTCAAGGGCAGCCCTATCTAACTGCCTACAAGATAATCTAATTAACTTACCTATGTACAATAGGAAGATGAACTTAACATAAAGCTTGTCATCTTAACCTTTGTTAAGTGCACAGTTCAGGACATTGAGCATGTGGACAGTGTTTCTGCAGCCATCATCACCATCTACCTCCAGAACACCCTTGGCTTCCCAGTCAGGGATTTCAGACCTATTGAGCATTCCCTTCCCTTCCTCTCTTCTTCCCAGCACCTGGCAACCTCTAACTTACTTTCTGTCTTTCCGTTTACCTATTCTAGATGTTTCATGGAACCATGCAGTGTTTGTCCTTTTGTACCTGGCTCCTGGTATTTAGCATAACATTTCTGAGGCATGTATCAGAACTTCATTCCTTTTTCTGCCTGAATAATATTCCATTTGATGGGTAGACTACATTTGTTGACCCATCCTTGCATGCGAGGATGCTTGAGTTGTTTCTGCCTTTGAGTCTGTGAGGAGAGCTGTCAGGAATATTGGAGTCCAGGGTGTTTCTAGTAGTGCTGAAGTGGGCTGGAGTCCAAGTAGCGGGAGGCTGCTACGTGAGCTGGTCCCTGCTGTTGGCATCGCACCCAGTTCTGGCCTCTCCTCTCTCTGCTGCCCAGGTCTCTTATCTTTTTTTTTTTTATTGGTCCATTTATCACTGGGTGCTTGTACCTGTACATGATGTATCTTGGTTCACCCTTCACCCCTCCACCCTTCCCTATGTACACAGACTTTGATTCCATTTTTTTTTCTTTCTCATAATTTTTCCTTTCCCTTCTTTCCTTTCCCCTTCCCCTCCCCCCACCCCCAAACCCTTGGACCTTTTCCTCTTTCAAATTATCAATTATTCATTTTAATCATTTTAGTCCTTATTGACACTTTCAGTTTCTCACACTAGAGAAACTATTTGGTATTTACACATGTGTGTCCTATTTATTTTACTTAAGAGGATGGCCTCAATATGCATCCACTTAGCTATAAATGTCTCTAGTTTCTCATTCTTTATGGTGGAGTAGTACTCCATGTTATAAAAAAACCCACACCTTCATCCAGTCTCCAGTTGATGGGCATTTGGGCTGTTTCCAAGCTTTAGCTATTACAAACTGTGCCGCTATGAACATGGGTGCACATATATCGCCGTGGTATAATTCTTTTAATTCTTTTGGGAAGATACCCAGCAGGGGGATAGCTGGGTCAAATGGGACCTCTAGTCCTAGTTCTTTGAGGTATCTCCACACTGATTTCCACAGTGGTTGCACCAGTCTGCACTCCCACCAACAATGGAGAAGGGTTCCTTTCTCCCCACAACCCTGCTAGCATTTGTTATTGGTTGATTTCTTGAGAGCAGCCATTCTTTCTGGGGTGAGGTAGAATCTCAGCATTGTTTTCATCTGCATCTCTCGAATGACCAGTGATGTTGAGCATTTTTTCATATATTTATTTGCTGTTGTTACTTCTTTGTCAGGTCTCTTATCTTTGTCCCCTCTCCACCTGGAGTCCCTGCTCCTTCCACCAAGGGTATCCTCCTTCTCCAACTCCTCCCCGAGCACCTCCCCTGCATGTGCTGTCCATGGGCACTGACCTGAACTTTCTCCAGGCTCTGCTGCCTGGATCCCTCATATCTCACTGAGGAAAGGGAAGCCCTGCCCATCCCTCCCAGTGATCACAGCCTTGACCCCATGATGCTAGAGGAGAAGCTGAACCAGGGGAGGCCTGGGCCTGTGAACTGGGGCACCCAGAGCGAGCTCCACATGCTCTAGGGACCAGCTGGCCTGAGCACAGGGGTGTCTTGGGCCTTCTCATGCCCACACAGCAGCCCGGCTCCAGGGCCAGCTCAGGCTCCAGGGCTCAGCTCAGACTCAGCCCAGCCCCTGCAGGGCTCTGACCCATCCCTCCCTCCACACAGAGCCAATGTATTCCTGTGTGGCACCTGGGGAAAGCCCCAAAAGTCACTCCCCCATCGCACTGTTTTCTCTCCAGCACCTGTTGTCATCACAAGGCCACGGCTGCTTCTTCCTGAAGGGCCCTTTGCCTAGAGTTAGTACCTGTGTCACTCCTGCTGATTCACGTTCCCACACACCGAAGTTAGGCCATGGTCAGGAGGTAGCCATAGATCCCTGGGCCTGGGGTTTCCCTGGAGCTGGGGTCTGCCAGCTGTGCTGCATCAGCCCAGCATGCCTCTCTCTTCTCCATCTTAACACCAGAGAGAATTTTCTGGAAGGTGGAGAGCCAGTCATCCCAGCATCACTGCCAATTAGTCATTACCATTCCAGTCTGCTTCTCAGCCCAAGAACCCCACTGTAGTAATTCCCTTCCATCACGAGTGGTATTGCTGATGTGTTGACTTATAACAAGTAAACCTTCAGAAAATAAAACTACAGCCGGCCAATTTCTATTCACTTGGCTAGGCACTCCAGAACATCACAAATTAGTTGGCGCGCAGTGCTCAAAGGCTTTTAAGATACCACGGATCGCCAGGCACAATGGCACATATGTGTAATCCCAGCACCCTGTGAGGCAGAGGCAGGAAAATGACAAGTTTGAGTCCAGGTGACAACTTAGGGAGACCCTATGTCAAAATAAAAATATAAAAAAGACACACGGAGAGAAAGAGACACTCAGTGTGGTTTCATGAGTAACTTTATGTGTCTGAGTTTGGCTCTGTGACCCTAAGCAGATGGTTTAACCACTCCTAGCTCCGGTACTGGGGCATCTGGTACACCACGTGGTATAGAGGGGTAACCTGTGAGCCAGGGTGAGGAAACTCAGCTCCTCATCCCAGTGACACACTAAATCTTCCCTGCCCACAGGGTGGGTACCCAGAACGTTCCTGCCCTGGGATCAGCGACCAGTGTTTAGTGAAAGAATGAACAAGTCTTGACGTGACTGGCCTCCTCTATACAGTGATGAGATGGGTATAGTGATGATCTTTAGGTCTCCTCCAGCCCAAATATATAATATTTAAATCCATTTAACCTCAGAGTAAAAGGTAGTGTTAGGAGATTTTCACTGAGATTGGTTTCCAAGCACCCATGTTATAAATCCGTAAAAGTAATGCAGAAATCAGGACTCCAGTCTGCAGGAGATAGAACC